AAACTTGTCTTGCAAACCACCCGAAACTTCTGAAATGACCTGAAGTGTTTTCAAGCCATTTCAGCGGTTTCAGACCACTTCAGAATCTTTCATTCTGAAATTTCAGGTGGTCGTTAATCGCGAGTGCCTTTTGCCAGTCAGGGGCCACTTCTGTACAGAAAGTCCTCAGACCATTTTCGAGAATATCCCTTTGGTTATGCTGAACCCTCAACCCGTGTTTGAGAGTGAGGAGGCATTCTTCCGTTCAGCAGGCTGTCAGAGTCAATTCCTTCATCCGATGCAGGGTTACATAAACCAACATCCTCTTCTGTTTCTGAGGGACATAGTAGGAAAAACCCTCGTAGTTCTTGTCTCTCAAATCCCCACCATCTTCCCATATTTCCTTATAGTTTTTTGGAATGTATCAGCATTCCGCTTTCCCATTCTATATCTCCAATCTACACCGCACAAAATTCAATTGGCCCTCTTCATCCTTTGTCCTTTTCAAAGTCAGGTTCCTGTCATACGACTTTTCAACTTATTCATGGTCTTTCTAGCTTTCCCACCCAACAAGCTTTTGTTTTTTTCTTCTTTTTCTTTCTTTTTTTTATAAAGGCCGACTCTTTTAAGCCCAACCAATTGAATTACCTGTCGAATCTGGACAGGACGGCCTTTCAGACCTCCTTTTATTTCATTGTCATTATAGTATTACGGGGAACCCCGTAGCAGCCACATCCGTGCTCAAGCCTCCAACGAGGGAACATGCAGGAGCTGCACCTGCCAGCAGGTGTGATACCTTCTACAGCAGGTGGGCGGTATCGGTCAGGGGTCAGCTGGTAGCATCAGGACCGAGCTTCTTTGATGGGTCAGTCACAGTACCTCCCCTCCGGTCCCCTTCCCCTATGAACATCAACAGTCTCTGCTCAATGCCACTCGGGGGGACCAACGGCATATCTCTAGGTGGCAGGCGCCAGGCTTGCCCAGGAAGGTGCATGAGGCCAATGGGGATTGAACCCAAGACCTCCTCAATGTCACTTGTGGGCCTTACCAACTGAGCTAGCCGCTGGATCCAACAAGCTTCCAACTCACTCATAATGAACAACTAGCTTAGCGCTCGTGGTGTAGGCGGTGCGGGCTACACCCGCATAAAGTAAAGATCTATCAAAGAACTCGCACAGACTCGATATTTTTTTTTTTTTCAAGTTAAAAGTGT